AGACGCTGGCCGGGTGTCCCTTGCCTTGGCATTGTTCACATATCATTCCGGTCCAACAGTTGACTTCAGGATGTCCCCACTTCCAACACTTCTCACAGAAGACGTCCCAATTCTCTGGTCTTGTTGCACCCTGACCCGAATGTGGGTTGGGTGACTTTCAATGTTGGTCTTCTGTGACTCGAAAGACTTTTCCATCAATTCCACCATGGGGGGCCTCTAAGATCGGTTTCGAGTGCGCCTCTTCTTGATCTGCGAACACTTCAGGACTCTGAGACCGTGTTGGAACTCTGAGTCCTGCGTTGGCTCGGCATCGCCCTGAGTCATGAAGGCACGTACCTGATGACGTCTAGTCGGTCCACGATTCTGAGACCGACCTTGGTGGACGTTGTCGGCACGGAAATCTCTGGGCTTCTTAGGAGCTGGAGAGTTATATCCTTCTTCACGCCACACATCTTCGTGGCGGCGTAGCGCTCGTTCCAGGTCCGTGATGCTCTGAAACCTGTGGCCTTCGAGAGCTGTCTTCAACTGATCATTTCGGAGCTTCTTGATGAATCTTCAAATGTGAGACTCACGTAACTTAGAGCTCGAATTGAACTTAACTTCAGCCTTAACCGCAGCTGCATTCAGACGACAGAAGAACTGCAACGGGGTCTCATGGTCGGTCATCTTCATCGTGAAGTACCTTTCTGAGTACGAGCCTGTGGTACCGATATACAGCTTCCTGAATCTGCGCGACATCTGTTTCCAATCGCGACGTGTAGACTTCGGTAGTTGCGTGAACCAGTCCCTGATTGCTGTGGGCATCCTGCTCCTGAACGGACGAATCTTCATTGTGTCTGACCAGGATCCCTGCGATGCCATATCCGAGAATCGCTCCCACCAGTTGACGCGATTATCCCTGGATACCTTCTCATCGAACTTCTCCAGGTTGGTGTAGCCAATGTAAAGTCTGCAGTTCCAAATCGTTGTTCCACCAGCTGTAGTCGTCGTCGTGGTCATCCCGATGTCTTCATCCTCGCTTGA